GCCCCGAGGTCCCGCGGGAGCCGGCCGGGCTTCGGGCTTCCCCGCGCGGGCCGTGCACATTTCTGGCCCCTCCCACGCGCGCCGCCTGCTTGCGGGTGGGCCGCCCGGCCCGCTGTCCCCGGCTCGCAGCAGCCCTGGTGAGTGCCCTGCGCCCCACCCCGCGGAGTTGGGGGCTATTTGAGGCGCCCCGGGTCCGGCCGGGGTCAGAAGGCGAGCGACCGGCAGAGCTGAGCCCGCGAGGGCGGGTGCGGGCCGGAAGGGACCTGGGTCACAGACCCGCCGCTCCCTGCGGGACCACCCGCCCCGCCTGCATGGGGAAGCTCCAGGGCTCCTCAGCCTAGGTCTTTGGCAGGTGAAACCGTGACAGCATCTCACCTTGATGGGTTCGATGGGGAGGTTCATGGGCAATCTGTGGTTTTAAGGTAATACTAAAGCTGGAATTCGAGCAAAGGCTAAACTACTGTACTTTGGAGAAAGCCGAAACTTCATTCTCAGAAACCTAGAATTTTATGTTTGAGAATTTGAGTCTTCAAGCCCTCGGTTTTTTAAGAAAAACAAAATAGATAAGTGCTTTCCCTCCGTGTTTTGATGCTTCCTGGGAGAACGGGAAACTGACAGGGCGGATTTTCGCACAGTTTCAGATGTCTATGGGGCAGTAGGAGGCCGTGCAGTCTGCTAGGTTTGTCGTGGTGTTTCCCTCCAGTATTTGGAAGACGGGCTGGAACACAAAGGGGTGACTGTGTAGGTCATTCTTACATCCAGAGAAGATCGTAATTCCTGGTTCTTTCTAAGCTGAAGTTATAGTAGGTTCTGTTCAGCGTTTTTCTCTTCTGATACTGGCAGGGTAGGCTAAGGATGCAACTGCTGTTCCTGAGGTTTTATAGTGTATTACACTGGCAGGAAGGTAGACCTCGTGGGACTGAACAGATTGCAAGGTCAGGGTTCCCGGCTTGCAGCCACTCAATTTCTTTATTACAGGAATAATTGTGATTGGTACTCGGAAATCAGGTTTAAAAATTGGTGTTTCCTGTGCAGTTCTGTGCTAAGGTAGACCTTCAAAAACTATATCTAATTGCAGACAGGAATCTAAAGCATTGTATTCTCAGTGGTCAAGAAATTGCATGATTTCCCCAGGAATAAATAAACGACCACTTCCCTGCAAGTAGGAGCGTCAGAAAACAGGAAGCAGCTTTAATCCTGTAGGCTCCCCCACTGCCAGTGAATAAAGTACACCACCTTAAGGAGACTTTTAGACTTATCTTCAGTTTCTTCAGTGTGGCTTCAGCTGAATTCTTTTAGCACTTAATGGCCCTCAGCCTTAGAGCACCGCCAGGCCTAGGTTGGGGGCCATGTTCTTTTATGCCCTTGTTTACTCAAGCTACCCACCTGCAGTACCTTCCTCCTTTCTCTGCCTGTCAATATCCTTTCTTAAAATCCTTCCACAAAACTTCCCTGATCAACTAAAATTGAGCTTTTCATCTGAATTCTTTCAGCACTTAATGGCACTCAGCCTTAGAGCAGTGTTAATAGAAAAACAAAGTTATGTCTCCTTAAAATACAGGCCACCAACCATTGCAAGCCTTTGAC